AATTTTTATTTTTTTTTGTCTGAAGTGTGGTACATGTTATTTGACATTGGCATAGGTGTAGGACTGCGCTCTTTGTGTGCCCTTTTAATTTGTAACCAAAGGCGTGTACAAGTTATGTCACATCCTTATCGCATCAATATCTGTCTGACAAATTGTACTTTTTACGTTATGCTGCCCAACTATTAACCTAGTAAGCCTCCATTTGGAATAATCAGCTGTGGCTGCTTCATACATTTGCCTGAAAAAGTGGTCACTCTGTTTTCTGCTAGTCTGCATTTACCCAGTTTTCAATCTTGCTTTGATTTACATAATATCTCTCACTACTCTCAAGTCCTTTTAGATAAATATGTATGCCCAGGTAGGTGTAGGTAGGCACACACACACCAAAACATCAGCCAGTGTGTGTGACTAGCTGTCACAAGCCAAATGCCTCTCCTGATTTGTGTTTTCTTCAGCTGTCTGGTCTCACAGACAGACAGACAGTACTCACCGACCCACCCTCCTTATTTTTACTGCTACCTTCATGTCAGTGTAATTATGTTCCCTTTGGAACACTTACAGTTTATATACTCGATGTGTGTCTGGGAGTGCGTAGATGTTTTGAAAAGGGCTTTGTTTTGGGGTATTTTGGTTGGTTGACCTGCACAGAACATTGCAAAGCAGCCATCAGTACACCACCCTTCTTACTTTTGTAAAAACCCCCTTAATTGCAACTGTTGAAACTGTGTAGGAACCTGTCACATGCCCCACTTCATCTACACAGCTCATTGTAGCTAATTAGATATATCAACTGATTTAACAGGTTGCCTGTGTTTGGGAAGCTCTCTGAATTATAATCAAGAAGTTTTATGGCTTTCGTTTTTGGCCAAAAGAAGACAAAAACCTTCAGATTCCTTGTAGAGGGAGCTGACTTTTCCAAGAAATCTTATCTGATCATTTGATCTATAAAATGTCACAAAAGAGTGAAAAAGGCCCATCACAATTTCCTAGATCCCAAGGATATGTCTTTGAATTGCTTGTTGTGTCCAACTAACGGCCTAGAACCCAAAGATACTCAGCTTGACTGACAAACAGTCAATGGCAGCCATTCGATAGATTTTAGAACCTGGAACTTGCATATAGTTGGCATTTTTTCTTGATGAATCATTTGATCCATCAGTAGTTGTTGATTAACTTTTTGTTAATTCAATTTAATTATTCCAAGCAGATTGTAATTAAAAGCTAACAGTAATTTAGTGAAGCTTTGGTTTTAAAGAGTTTTACCTGATATGAAAGACAGTTATTTGATACATACATTTGCATTCATTGCCATATTGTGATATACTGTGTATCAGAAAAAAACTGTTATTAATATTGTGGTATTAAATTAAACTGTATCACCCAGCCATATGCATAAATAATTAGTACTTGCAACATAGCTGGCATTAGCTTGTCCATTTAATGGAGGCCTAGGCACTCAGAGCAGTTCTGAAAGTGGTTCTGAAGTGGTTCATTGTTGCTTTTATGGTTCCCCTCAGACAAAGAGACAGTACTTTGTCTCAGTGACAGTCCTGACTCAAACACTGGTAGAGTTTGTCAATGATTGCTTATATTCTTAACTGTACTTGTGGTTTGAAGAGCGGAAATTTGTTAAATTCAAGAATGTTTTTTGCTCCTCCTCCCCCATCTATCTCTACAGGTTTCTTCCTGACATACTCATATTCAGTTTCTCATGTGATTACCCAGAATCCACTGTACCTACTGTCAGCTGTATGTTTCCGCTCTGTGGGCTGAATAGCACCACAACATTTGCTTGTGTGTGTCTGCTGCCTGTGTGTGTGTGTGTGTGTGTGTGTGTGTGTGTGTGTGTGTGTGTGCGCGCGCGCCTGTGCGCGCATGGATTGAGGGTCTGTTATTTAATGGCAGCTGTGTAAGCGGAAACATCCTTCTCTTGACTGCTGTCCCCCCATAATCAGAGCGCCTTCTTTCTGTCTCCCTCTTTCTTTGTCCTTCCTCTTTACCTCTTACTCCCCTGCTACAGAAGAATATCCAATTAACTTGTCCAGCTGTGGCAGTTGCAGTAAAGGGACAGCCCACCTTATTGTAGGTGTACAGACATCCCTTCACAAGGGAACAGAAAGTCATGATAACTACACTAAGGTTGTTATAAAATCTATGAAGAGCCATCTGTTTAAATTGTACACCTTGAGACAGCCATAGTAAGTTTTGGCTTAAACCTGAAACCTGGATTAGAACAATGAAATAACACATCAAATTTCCTACATCATTTACCCCTGGTTAAATGCCATGTAAAAGCATCAGGCCCGGTTAAATTGTAACGAAAGCCTGCAAATGTTGCATTGTTAGCAGTGGATCTCATTGCAACCTCTATTCATTTAATTTTTCAGCTTTGTTCATTTGATATGATTTGTTTGGATGTGAAGGCTGTCAGCAGGCTTACACTTTGCACACATGCGTATGCTGACATGGATCCAGAGAAAACTGCTTAAGGAATAACTGATTTGTTAAATCCTGAATTATTGCTTTATTATTACCTGCACAGTATTTGAGAGAAATGCATTAAAAGTGTGAGCATCAGTTGTATAGAACATATGAGTGAAAGCTTCATAACCACTTTTTCATTTTTGATACCACAACATTGAGTATCTGCTGGTAATACTACGTGTTTGATACTTGTTTGTCCCTCTTCAATCTTCTGCAGTATTGTAGAGGCATTGCTGTGTGTGGCAATGTCTCATAAAATAATATACCTTTGCTTTTAAATCCTTTTGAGTTGTTAAGCATTAGCTGATACATTTTGAAGTGCAACCCCAAGTTTTTACAGTGTCCTGTCAAAATTAATAGTAACATTGGAAAGATGTCCAAGTTACTGCTTGGCATTTTTCTTGATGTGATTCTTTATGATTCTAATGTGCCCCCTAATTATGTTGATGAAAGACTTGTTGATGTTATAGTATGTGCTCTCTTCAGAACTTTTTAGGGCATGGGTGAAGATGTTTTATAACTGTTGAAGCATCTTTCCTGACGGAGGGTTTCCTAAAGGGACATCATAGCCTGGCCTTGTAGGCAAGACGTGTGATTTCACACCAATGCAGTCAAGAAGAGACAAAACAAATGTATCACAATGCATTGTATTTGTCCCGCTGTTATTTTGCTCTTCAGTATTTCAAAACACATGAATACTAAATCACTTAAGACTAATTTTAAGAGCTGAGAGACATCTAGAGGTCAAAGAGAAATTAAACCAAAAATAACAGGCCACTTATATGAGTAATATGAGCCTTCAGGTTGAAGGAATTTTTCTTCAGGAAAGACTATTCTCAGTACCTGCCATTATGGCTAAAAAAGGCCTCCAAAAAGTGAGCACTTTTACTTGACAAGACTAGGTTTGATGCTGTGGGTAGTATTGTACATTTAGAAGACAACTCGTCTACATAGTGCCTCCTGAGAATTGTAGAAGCACCTAATATCATAAATGAACTCTTTGGCAACCCTGCTTTCACAGTATATCATTAATACCTTTTTTTATGAGGATGGTAATAAAATGTCTTTATTTATCAAATTTGTAAACCCGTTTATGGTTTCCATCTCTGATTCTTAATTTACCCAGACATGACCATTTCGATCTCTTCGCCTAAATTGTATTCGAAGGCCACTGATAAACTCGAATCGCAATGTACTGTAGTCTTCCAGTTTATCTTTGCAGCTGTACATAGCAGAGGAGCTGATAGATGAGATGAGGAACTGGCAAAACCTGTTATGACTTTTTCACGTGTTTTCACTTTAAAAAAATTTAAAGGAAATGGAAAGCATTTTCTCTAACTGTTGTTTTACACCACAGTTGATTTCTGTGCATGCTATCCCTTCTTATTCCCTGTACCTCAATTTTAAAGTTCTGGAATTTACTAATATTTTAAAATCAAAAGACTTTGATAACAAGCTGAACTATAAAGACTAGCTAACAACAGGAGAAGGGGAAACACCTGTGAATAGCACTGTATTCAGTCTGTTTGTGTGCGTCCTTAAATAAGAGGACTTGATGAATACCCTGCTCTATGTTTGACCTTGTGACCACTTGACTGTCAGACCATTGCAGCTCAAACCACCCCCCTCGGGGTTGCATACTATTTGATGTCAGACCAAGGGGTGTTTTGTCCAGACTGATCTGTCTTGTAGGTTGTTGACATAGTTTACCGCTTGTAGCTTCATTATGCCTTTTGGATTCCTCTGTCAAAATACATGGAAAACAGCTTGCCTTTAAATTTGAATACAAGGCAAATTTGCTATCAAGAAGGAAATGTGTATGTCATCCTCCTTTAACTTCTTTCTAATTTCTTTAAAACAACAATTTTCATTTTGGGTTTTTCTTAATACTTGCTTAATCTGTTTATTCTAGTAGATATTTTTGTGTTATGTGCTCTACACAAACCTTCTCAGGGCATGTTTATCTGGTCTAAAATTGGTACTGCTGATTGGACTGGGCTTCGTGCAGGAACATTATTGGGTGTAGCCTGACATCTAGTGGCTAAGACATGCTAATGTGTGTGTTTTTTTTTATTATTTAAGATACAATGGTGGCACTTTTTCCCCTGTACAACTTTATCTATACCCCTCTGACCCACCTTTGACTGTTGATGACTGTTCACTGCAAGTCACCTGCAATTACCTTCCAAATGTCCTAATTAACTCAACTGTCTTTACTCCAATTTAGATGTAATCGTCCTCTAGAAATGTGTATGAATAAATGGATTGAGTTATCACAGTCTTTTACTTGCAGGGTTTCTCTCTGTCCTACTGTGAATTACTCATGAAACATGTCATGAAACTGACAGTTTCCTGGATCTGGTTCCTGTCGTAAATGATTTCTGTCTAATTGATTCTTTCTTTTTTTCCCCCCTCCATCTGACTCCCTTCTTGTCACTGCTTTTCCCTATCGTCTGTTTGATTTTTCTTTCCCTTCCGTGGCATATTTCTCCCTTTCATTCGTTCATCCTCTACAGAAACTCAAACGGCTGATTCCTGATGAGGTAGGTTTGTTACGGCTTACCACCATCACCTGTGTGCTTGACTCAACCATCTGTCACTGTGCCTTTTGATAAACGAACTCACTATTATCCATTTAATGTCATGTCACCGTCTGTCTCATACCTAATCCACCACAACCACCATGTGTTATTAAGTATCTGTGTTTTGTCGTGTGCTGTACTCACATTGGATGTGCATGCTTTCAAGATGCACACTGACAGCATGAAATACTTGGCACATAGAGCAGTGATACCTTCATGTGCCTGCAACAGGAGGGTGTTGACAGATTATTTTCATTAATCATCATGGATAGTCATTATGTCAGTATTTGCCAACTATACGTGCACCCAAAAGTTGATGTTCTTCAGTGTTTTTCATTTTGCAATAAATGATAGTCAGAGCAAGTGTCGGTAATGTACCACACAAAGTCATTAAAACCAGAGGGGAGGAAATTCCCCATCAGTGTCAACTGCTTGTTAACTTTGTGTGGTAATGTTTGTTTGCAAAAACCTTTGATGTCTCTAATCCCCTCTCTAATCATCATCTCACATTGTTGAAAGGTTTCTACTGTTGTATAAAATACAACATCCCAAAACTAAAGGAGAAATAACTATTAAACATTGGTATTAAGACGGTAGGCCTATTTTCAAAATGTGAGTTGATGAGGGATTGCTACCTCATTTTTGTGGCCCAACAGTGATGGATTACACTTTGCAGTTTTTCACTCTGACCTCTTTCCTCTAACCTGTGTCATGTTGTTTGCTAATCTAGTTGGAGCGTTTCACCAGCATGAGGATGAAAAAGGACAAGGAGAAGCCCGGCCATATGCCAGGTCAGCGTCACTCTTCAGCTGCCAGCTATGAGCTCAATCCTCAGAGTGCCATGCTGCATGATCATTCTGATGAATACGTCCTGGAGCTCTTCGAACAGATGCTGGTGAGAGAGGCCATAAAAGTGTGTGGGTGTGGGTGGGTGTGGGTGGGCGTGTGTGGGTGTGTGTGGGCGTGTGTGTGGGTGGATGTGGGGAATTCAGCTTTCAAGGAATCACCTGTTCATTATCTCACCTGCACAGCCATGGAAACTTGTGCTTTGTAAATTTCACACACAAATACATAATCAATTACTGGATAATGCCTCTGTAGAATTGCCCCAAAACCATTAGATTATTGTTGAAAGGATAGTGTAATGTAAATGAAAAACCATTGCGATAGTTTATTCTTTACGTATGTTTGCTCCAAATAGTAGAATGTTTTGTGAAGGACTACCTTACAGCACAAAGAATAAATCTCTTGCGTCAAGCGAAGTCTCAAAGTAATGTAGTATCATCTAATAATTCTGCTCAGTATCTTAGCACACTTAAATCACCTCTGCTCAAACATTTAAACAAGGCATCTGTTATTATCTTGCAGTGGCTTTATCTACCTTGTGTCCAATTTAGGAAAGACTGGTTGACACACCTTATTGTAATTCTTCAAATGTATTGTACACTCCATTTTAGGATATTTTCTGTTTATTAATTACTTTATATCCTTGTCTCACAATACTTTGTTTATCCCTCCATCCTACTTCTTTCTTTTTCTTCCTTTCTCTCTCCTCTTGTCTTTCTCCAGGTGGATATGAACCTGAATGAGGAGAAGCAGCAGCCTCTAAGAGCGAAGGACATTATGATCAAGCGAGAGATGGTCTCTCAGTACCTCCACACATCTAAAGCTGTCAGTACCAAAATAAGTAGTGCCAATACAGTGTGCTGAAGGGAATTTGCAGACAGCTGCATACAAATTGTTTTTTCCAGTTGGAAAATCAACACAAGTTGCATCACACGTGGACCTTTACATGCCATGTAGTCCTATGCAAAGTAGACAGTGCTACACATGGGCCTGTTTTGTCATATTCACTTAAAAAACTATGCAATTAAGCCAGACAGGAGTATTTTTAAGGCTAAATAAAAAAAAAAAAAGTGATCAGAATAATGTAATGCAGAAGATTGGAGTATTGCCTTATTCAGACTGGATATATTATATACATTAGAAAAATGTATTCATTGGTGAAATGTAGAATCAACGAAACATTATAACATCATTGGTAGGACCAGCTTCCCCTCTTGTACTGTAGTTGGCTAAATAATCTTTCAAAAGCAGCAGGTGAAATATAATTAAATATGCCAAAAGCAAGTAGCTCAAGGGACCTACACAACCAAGCACTAATGGCTGCTAGTACAGTTCGTTTAACTGTGAAATAAGCTAATTAAGAGAAAATTCCTACACACAGTGCCATTTAATTCTGCAACTCAACATTTCCAATTGAGCTTGACTGTTGCCCTCTGTGCCTTCCCGTTGTGCTTTCTTGTGGAAATAAAACCAATTAAAACCTGCAAGAAGAGAACTATAAATGCAGAAAACAAAGTGATTTTGTGTTTTGTGTGCCTGCTGTGTGTTTATTTTTGTTCATTAGGGCCAAAACCAGAAGGAGAGCTCCAAATCAGCCTTGGTGTACATCCAGGAGTTAAAGTCAGACAGCAGAGACACACAGCTTCTGGGCTGTCTGGAATCCCTTCGAGTCTCACTCAATAACAACCCTGTCAGGTAAAACACATATACTTACATACAGATACACACAGTGCATATAAAAGAGAGCACTAAGCCAATTAAGTGCAGGAATTGCTTTTGAATAACTGTCAATCTCCTGGCCAAGTCAGTTCAGACCACAATTCACTTTAGACTTAGTGCAGGACTTAAAAATTGCTGGTCATCTTTCATGATCACCATGCAACTTTATAGATGTTGCGCCTTTGGCAAAGAAAAATCATAAAAATTGCAGTGTTTAGACATACAGAGCTGATACAGACCCATTCACTAAGGTTTCAATTGCTAGTAAAGAAGCCTTTAGTCAATACTTTGATGAAGGGGGCAAAGACAATGAAAAACATTCGCTCACACAGGTGAACTATTTACATGAAACATTATTTTCTGTTATATATATATTTTTACTTAATTCACATAAGTTTGTATAGTTTTTGACTTTGGCATTACAGAGTCTTAATTTATCAGTGTTAAGACGTGCAATTAATCCACTGTGATTTAAAAACTCAAACATAATTAACAACACAGGCCTGTTAGTCCAGAAAGTTTAGAAAGTTAGTACAGCAATGAGTGAAACCTCACAGAATCTAACAAATCAATCAGCAAATGTGAAGCATAATGAAATTTATTTATGGAAATACGTCACAATAATACTATACAGTATATACCCCTGAAGCATTGGGGTCACTGTTGCCATTAATTTGTTATATTATACATTTCTCATTTAGCATGTACAAGAGCATATCCAGATTTTAAAACAGAAAATAGCCAAATTAAATTAAACAAAATATATCCCACGGGAATGGGAAATGCCAAAGGGAAAAAGGTGTGTGATGAAACGTGAAAATTAAATAAACGGTGTACTTATCATGTGGTCTTGTCATTTCCAGTTGGGTGCAGAACTTTGGAGATGAGGGCCTGGCCTTGCTGCTGAATCTCCTTAGGAAACTACAGGATGAGAAAGACGAGTACCCGTAAGACACTTAAATCACAGGATCTAAATATTGTACTTTCTAGCAATGTGTTTGCAATATCTGTCTGTGTGTCTGCTCTCCTTTCAACTAGAATGATCGGAGTGAAATGCCAACACGAGATCATTCGATGTCTAAAAGCCTTTATGAACAACAAGGTAATACACTTTCTTTGCTTTCTTTGCTTACATCATAATACTTCATCCTTTCTTCGGTAGAACTTGTAATAGAAGCGTCATTAGCCCATTTAATGTCCTTGTTGTAGTGTAGCAATTCTTCCACTAGAGGGCATAACTTTCGCCTGCTCATTACAGTGAATGCAGACACTGATAAGCTATGAGAATCCTCAGAGTATTTTGTGCACTGATGTGTCTAACTCTAGGTAACCAGTATAAATCTATTCAAAATCTATTATATTTAATGATTATATATCAGTAATTAATAATCATTCGGTGCCTAAGAGAGACAAAATGCTACACTACTTTTTATATCTTAAAGCAACATAGTTCTGATAAGCTAAGATCAGTGTAATAACAACTAAAAACTTAAAGGTACAGACAAACTGAATTTTGAAACAGCACATCAGGTTAATTGATAGAACACAAATATTGTTCAATAATGGTTTAAATCAGATTGATAAGAAGGTAGTCTTACTTTTATTAATGAAGATTAGTCAATTATTTGTAAACTTTAAAATATAGGTCAGTATTAGATTTTGGATGTATTAATACCTATCGTCTAAAAAGAAAATTTGTCAGGCTTAGTTTAATCCTTGTCCATAATAACAACCTATAGTAAAAACACTTACTATAGTTGGTAATCATTAAAAGTATGAGCTCTTGTCAGATTGTTACACCAATAATGTAAAAATAAATATATGCATGTCATTGACAAAGTTGTTTTAGTCAGAGTAAGTTCTATCTCGACCAAGAGACCCATTCTTCTGATGTCAACACTATAACTTGAACCATGAAAGCTCTGCCTTCCTCTTGCCTGCAGAAAAGAAACCCTAAACCCTACCTCCTTCCTTTCTCTCCCCTTTAGTATGGTCTAAAATCCATGCTGGAGTCAGATGAGGGAATTCCTCTGCTGGTCAGAGCCATCAACCCTGCAGTGCCTCATATGATGGTGGATGCTGTCAAGCTGCTGTCTGCCATCTCCATTTTGCAACATTCTGAGAACCTGTAAGCATGAGTGCAAGGTTGACATGATGCCATATAATAAGCTGAACATCTCCAACTCTTCCCCACAGTTAAAGTTTGGAACACAAGTCTTGTTACACGTAGTTACAGTCTTGAAGTGCGCCATTGACTAGCTGTCAAATAAAGCAACAGAATGTACTTTATGATTATTTTTTCATGGCAAATGTTCTACTTTTGTATTTTTTAAATTTAGCTACAACAATTTATTATACACAACTATCTATTTTTTACAGCCATGAACGTGTCTTGGAGGCCATTACAGAGGAGGCTGAGAGACGGGACATTGAGAGATTTCAGCCTCTCCTTGCTGGCATGAACAACCACAACATTGCTCTTAAGGTATATCCCGTTTACAGATTCACACACATACTTGAATGATTATAAATCCCCCTGTGTGTTTTTGTTTGACAAACAGCACTACTTGAGCTCTGCTGACATATATGAATCTTGACAGACATATAAACTGAAACTTTTACTAGTTGGTGGAGGTATACAAAGTGGCAAAGTGGTAATTCTAGTATGATGTGTTTTTGGCAGGGTGGCTGCATGCAGCTAATCAATGCCTTGATCAGCCAAGGAGAGGAGTTGGACTTCAGGATCCATATTCGCTCTGAACTGCTAAGACTGGGACTCAGAGACCTGCTGACGGTACAGAAAACCCACTCTTTTGATCTTTCTCTCAGAATGACTCTCCAATAACACACATTTGTACAGCCTTACTCTTCATGTCTGTCTCCCTCTTGATGCCTCTGTCTTGCCGACTGGCTGACGAACACTCATATGCTGTAAAAACTTTCTCTCAACTGTTCAAACTCAATGTTTGATTGTCACACTCTTCTTATTCTCCCTCTTGCCTTTTCATCCCTCTGCCTGCATCCTATCCCTCTCTCTGCAGGAGGTGCGGACGATAGAAAATGAAGAGCTGAGGGTGCAACTTAACGTGTTTGATGAGCAGGCTGAGGATGACTCTGAGGACCTCAAAGCACGTCTTGATGACATCCGCATTGAGATGGAATATCCTTCCACTGGAAAAAATGTCCCTCTGCAGAAATTCAAGGTCTACTTTTTGACTTTGAAAATGAAAAGTATCAGTATGTTCATAGTTTTACTTTACATTACTTTGCTAGCTTCATGAGCGAGAGGAAAACCTTAATTTGATTGGTTTTTCATAATTTTATAATAAATTGTTCGTATATAGAATCATATGTATTATAAAAATAAGTCCGTTATTTACACAAAAGGTTGCTCCTTTCTTCCCCTTTATAATCAGCCTGACCACTTTCTTCTAAGACAGAGGTTAAATGAATATTTCCATATTCAATAAGCTAAGTTTGCTGGCTCAAGGGAGCCAGTGTAACCTTCTGTAGGCTTTTTTACATTTAAAATTCATCTGAGCCAATTAGCATTATATTATTATAAATACACATAAGAGTCAGTCGAGTTAGGTACACAAGAACAATAGGAACTGCTTATTTAAGAGTTGATTTCTATTGTCGCATATAAACTTGATGGTTCCTGCTTCTACACTTTGATGTTTTTGTGAATACATGCCAGGTTTTCAGTAAAAAGAATCAAGCATACTGTAAAAGTGTACATTTCAAAAATGGATTAAAAACTAATTTCACCAGCTGCTGTAATGCCTTCTGCTGCTTTTGACATGCAGTTACAATTTTCAACACAAGGTGTCTCCCAGGTTTACCCAATCCTGTGTAAACACAGTCTGCTTGTCTGACTGGCTGCACATGCAGTGCATTTAAAAGTCTTCAGACCCCTGAAAACAAAAACATACCTGTCTGATAAGGCTGGTTAGGGATACATTACATCACACTGTGGCTGTGGCTTTACAGCATAGATTATCAGATGAACAAGTTCAGTGTCTGTCTGACTTGTATATCACTGAAATTCTGCAGTTCACAAACAACAGTGTTCACTTGTGTTGTTCCAAGCCTTATATATGTAATATACTGTATGCAGTGAATGTTGGTGCAAGACTATCCAAAGTTGTCACGGTTTGTGCTATAGTGAATGTTGAACATGTTTTGTATGGTGTTTTTAATATTTGTCTGAACGTCTTCATATTATTGTGCTAATTGAGCCTTAACTTATTTGCTTCAATGATGTGAGGGAAGTGTTTGAGATTCTGGTCAACACTGTTAAGGACTCCAAAGCTGAAAGCCACTTCCTGTCCTTGATGCAGCACCTGTTGCTGATCCGCAGTGATTATTACGCCAGGTAACACACACACACACACACACACACACATTGTGATAAGAGACTAGAAACTGTATCATCTGGGATTTACTTGTCACTGCTGTCCCATTACTGTGATGCAGTTGTCTTTTATGGGTAATAAAAACTAGAATAAGGTTAATTGTTACAATTTTCTCAATGAGTGGCTGTATTTCAGCTAAATAAAAAGAAAAATTCATGTCTGTTACATCATCAGATCACTTCATACTTCACTGTAAACAACATACAGGAAGACATAACGCAGAGCACACAAATAACAATCACAGTATTCTGAAGTGGACAGAGAAAAGATGCATGAAGCACAATGCAAAGCTGCCATTTCCTACATAGTACTTGCAGTACATGCAGTCATAAAAAATGCCAAAATCAATTTTTTTTTCAGTTGCCTACTCTTCATTCAGCTCTCCCTCCTCTTAGCCCTTCCCTTCATTTGCTGTTTGTTTTTTAGTGCACCGACGCTAAGCTCTGAAATTAATGCATGCAAAAAAGTCCATTGAGATGAGATGAGCACCATGACCTCTTATCACCAGAAATATGCTAATGTCTCTCCCTGTGTCTTCCAAAGCCCTCAGGGGTTTAGCTGTGGAAACTGAGGAGAGAGGAAGAGAGAATGATTGAATGACAAGATGGGAGCAGATAGTGTGTGCACATTTACACACATATAGTATGTTCACTTTCACAAGAATGGTTCCCTTAATGAAATGTCACTGAAAAGGGCAAAACGCACAAAAACATGTGTAGGCATGCACATATTTGAGATGAATTAGTTGTGTTGTCCAGTGTTGTCTTGATTGTATCAGACAGGCAGGAAATTGTTGTGTATTTTTAGCACAGTTTGGAGAATAAATTGTGAGCATTGAAAAAGGAAGGCTGGTACAAACATCTGGTCCTAGTTGAAGTCTTTTTACTCCCTCTTCTATTTCATCCACCCTTTCTTTCCTTCCTGTTTTCTCCATCCAGGTGATCCAATGAAACACAATAGAGGTTGTCTGTAATGGACTCCACAGAGAGACAGGAAGAGAGGGTGGGAGGGAGAGCTGTAGAGTGGCAGAAAATACAGCTTGGTAATTACAGAGATGAAAAGAGAAGGGAGGTGGAGGGTGAGACAATAATGAGGAAGAAATTGAGAGTTGAGGTAAATTGCTAGGTAGATGTTGAGAGAATGAGGGAAGTACATACAGGAAATGAAAGGGTTAGCATTTGTGTGGGAATGAATGAAAGAGTACCTGCTGCTTTGCTCTTTTTTCATTCTCGGTCTTGCTCTATTTCAATCTCGACTTGAGATGGAGTCCAGGGAATTTACTCAAATGCACTCATATATTTGGCCATATTTATAGTCATACGATGCGTGTCCACAAACTTTTAAGGGCTTAATAGAAGGAGAAAAACCCATTGACATCTATGTATTCAGTTTAGTATTCGTCAAAATGTATATAGCCTCATGCCTACCAACAACCGTTTTCCTAATATATCTAATTTTTAGATTTAATTTGTTGGGGATTTAATCTGTTTTTATAAAGAGTGTCAGGATTCTGGATATAGTCAAATACAAGTATTAAGTTTTTTTCCTCAGTTTTCCAGAATGACACTAGATGTCTCTCTCGCTCCATGAATAAATCTAAGCTTTAGGAAAAAAAAAAAAACTTGAAACATAGTGAATGATTGGAATAAGTGTTAGACAAAGGCTGGGTGACTAAGAGAGACAGAGGAGGGAGGGGAGAGAGACAGAATAAATAAGGTGTTGAGTTTGTGACTCTGGCAGCATCTAATGGGGTCAGGGAATAAGACACCTCCAAAATTGAGTGTCTGTCTGAAGCTAGCTTGATCAGACGGAGCGCTGGACATACACCAACACACCCTCACGAACACAGTTGCACACAATCAATCTTTGTGACAAGAAACTCAAACTGTCATGCTCACACAGACAGCCAATCTCAGTTGCAGACAGAGTGACAAAGCATGCGTGTTCACAAATGTATCTGAACAAATGAACCCACTTGCTCTTTGTCAGTCCCACCTTCTATTCACATAATATGCCAGATTCATTGTTAATGTAAAATACATTGGTATTATAAAATATATACATATACTGTATTTGCCTTTGTGGACACAACATGCAAAGTATGTTGAGATTATGTGAGATTATGTTGAGTTATCTCTTTTTTTCCCAGCACCACATATAAACTCTCCTTCTCCATTGTTACCCTCCTTCCATCCCTCTTGTCTTATCTTCCCCCTGTCTCTCTCCATTTCTTTCTCTCTGTCTCCTAATCCATCTCTCTGTAAATCTGCCACTCCTTCTCCCAGGCCTCAGTACTACAAATTGATAGACGAGTGTATCGCTCAGATTGTGCTGCACAGGAATGGAGCAGACCCTGACTTCAAGTGCCGTAACCTTAGCCTCAACATTGAAGGCTTGATAGGTGAGTTGTTTGACCAGACCATACACACATGATCAAGTCTTTCTCTTCTTCTTGCTTGTTGTACATGGTGCTGCCTTGCCCATCACCCAACACCCTTAACATTTAGAGCTATATACATGCACATAATACACATGGGCCTGGAAAAATCAAACATTGCTGCACAGTACTGTGCAGGTTGAAACTTTCAAGGTATTTCACTACCCCACTTTAATCACCATGTTACTTCAATGGCAATATACTTGCCCTATGTGATTTAGTTTAAGTGAATTTGGCCAGAATGCATATCACATTGGCTATCTACATGGTGGTCAAATGTACAGTGGCCCAGAAGCACCACAAGGTGGAGCCAGAGAGGGAGTGTGCGTTAGTGTGGGCTAAATTGTGCTACAGGTTTTACAGTCATAAGTTGGTGGTGTTAAATGAATTTTATCAAGAAGATAAAAGCTGTGTCAGTCTGAGCAATCCCAGAATCTGATTTCACAATATAGTAGGTGAAATTTCTTTTCCAATATTTGATCCCTGACACACAACTTTAGATTGGTTAGATGGTAACTCTTAGGCACTGGTGGTGAATGTATTAATATAATAAAAGTCAATCATACCCAGGTACATGTGTCTTTAAAGCACCTCCTATGGTTTACTTCCTGTGAGGAAGACACAAAATCCCTACAAGCTACAGCGGTGACACAGACTTTTCTCTGTGGATCAAGAATGTATTACGATGGCCATTGATCTATGTCATCCCCTGTCACTCTCTATTGAATACAAACCTAAAGTGCTACATTTTCACCAAAATATAAGCATTCTGGTGAGAAGTGGTGCGCACTGGTGTATCTGCATATAGATTTTGTGAACCACCTGCTGACAATTGTGAGCTAAACCAGAGCAGGGTTGGAGGTGCAGGCCATGTCTCAAGAGTTCAATACTCCTTTATGGCAGGTCTCCGTTGCTCACCGCAGGAGGCTCTAATTGCACTGCTTCTAAATGCGTCCTGACACACACACAGGCTGGCTGGCCTCCTTTAAGACTGCCAGAGTTATTATCGGTGGAAAGCAGCCCAATTCTGCCCTGCATGCATTATTTAGTGTTTTTCTTTGAACTCTGAAATTCAGCACAGTTTTTTTCCCCACATTCTGTCTCCCTTAGTGCTCTCTATTCGAAGTTTGTCCCATTTAGCCCAGCCACCATGACAGAAGTAACCCCCCCCATTACACATCCAATAACCATGTGAACTCGAACACAAATGCACACTTTGAAATTGTGTGCGGGTTGGCATATTATTGTGAGGTTCTACTATGTGGTAAAACCTTCTCTTTCGCAAAATAGATTTCTTACTTTGCTCTGCCTTGCTTACAAGCTTATCTAGATATACAGAGTCTTGCATAGTTTCAACTACTTTTTCCACTAGCCATATTTTCATCACAGCTGAAGACTCGCACTTTATCTCACAATCTGTATGAATCTGTTTTCTATGAGTTTATGTAATTTCTTTTTCTATTTTAGCTTTTCACAGCTCTTCTATCTCAGCGATCTATCTGCTTGATCCCCCTCCTGGGCATCATGATTAGCTGTCTTTGATCCAGTGACTTTGTGGCATTCATCTTCATGTTAATTAGCTCTTTTACTGCACATGCTCGCTAAGCCCTTTGGCACTGAACCACCTGTAGACCCTGCAATTATTCTGTAAAAGTACCCCGTTGGTTAGTCTGTGTCCTTCTAACCCTGTCCTCTGCCAAGCTGATTCTGTGATAATGGATTACTCTCAGACTGTTATATGGTCTTTCTTTTATTTTTTTCACAGTCTTTCCAAAAAGAATGGGTAAATATAAGAATTTTAAAAAGTGGTGTGAGATAGTTTTCACATACAGGAAAATGTAAAAGAAAACCTTTCTCACACATACACATAGACAGAGGTTTATAGGAGGCTTTAAAGGTAATGATGTGTAGAAGAAGCATGCAACAGACAGCATCCTATTGTAATGAGATGCAACTTTATTTATTATTAAAAAAAACAGGAAGATAATAGAATGCTTACTCTGTGTGTCTGTGACTGTATGTGTACACACAGCATGTGGATGCAGATGACTTTACGGTTAGATGTGTGTAGGTGCGTTATCTGAAGCCCTTATCTTATCTACCTTTTTTCTCTCTCTGTCTTTTCCTTCTGTCATTTCTTTGCCCACAGACAACATGGTGGACCAGACCAAGGTGGAAACCAGTGAGGCCAAGGCCACTGAGCTGGGGAAGAAGGTGAAATACACACCAATTTATTCACATTTAGAATCACAAAAGCACTCCCGTACACACTCATACACAACAATAGCATGCTATACACACACAGACATATTTACTTGTCAACCCAAAAGCACACAAGCTATTACAATCATAAAGACACAACAGAAAATCATACATAGAAAAAAAAAGCTAACATTTCCCTCTGACACACACAGACACATTTGGGATCGTACTGAAATTTAATGTGACCAGTGTCTGGCTGACATGAGATGACAAATGAGAAAAAGGGGGGAACAGAGGGTGAGTAAGAGAATGAGCATACACATGTCTATCTGACAGCCAACCAGCAGACAAATATTCTTACAGGCTAGCAATCGGGGTAAATGCCTTGAGTGCAGTGTGCTGCTACCCTGATGATTCTGTCCGAGTGACAGGATAATTGCAAAGAGGGAGGTGAAACTAGCCTTCATTCTGGCGCACCCACTCTAACACAGGCTCATAGCCACTGAACACATGTACACACGTACATCCACACAAATACACATTACATGAACACACTTGGATTCATTTTCGTTGACCACGCACACACCATAGTGCCAGTTGTGCATGATGGGGTAATTGCAGGCAGTCTCTTTGGCAGGAATTAAGGATGAGGCTGTCAGGACGCTGACAGCGAGAGTAACGGATCTGCTGTCTGCAAATTAAACAGTCATGTGTGTCTGTGTATTCATGTATTCATCTGTTTAAATACTCTTATCCTGTTTGTCAAGTGTCCTAGAAGAAAAATCCTTGAAAATTTATGAAAGTTTGGAAATTAAAACTGGGTGTAAAATGTCTCTTTAGCTCTTTTTTCTTCATGGATGTGAAGTCTTTTAAAATGGAAGTGAGAAGTGAGCTCATACAAGTGCACTGAAGCATCCTAACTCAATAATTGACACTAATTTGCAGTGTAAATTATACAATGAAACTGAAAGCACTAGACTGCAGGAAATGGCTTCTACAGGTCTTCGAGATATGGGAACTTCTGCAGCTTCAAGAGGAAGGCTAAAAGCTTCTGCATGCAAGCATACTGTTCCCATATCTCACTGGAGAACCCTAGTGTTTTGGTGGTGTCAGGACTGTATTTACTTAATGTTTTACGAAATGTTTTAGTTCTCCCTAATCACCCTTTTAAATTACTTTTTTATAAAATTAAATGGCCTTTGAAGACTTGTTTTTAGACTGGTGGTTAAACCACGAAAGCTTCAGCAGATGACTAAAACCACACGGTGAATTTTTGCCAGCACGATCAGGAAGGTCACAACTGTATAACAATTTTTTTTCTCCCTTCTAAATTACCATGACATCATCTCCACTCAAGAAATCTGACACTTTTTACTAAAACCTCCCTATATCAGACTCTGGCTTATTATGGGGAAATACTGACCTATATGATCAGGCAAATGAACCTTTGATTGACCATTTTTCCAATACTTTTCAACAATCAGAAAGTGAATCTCAGGATTCCATAACATGCAATATTTTATATAATAATGACCCTGACACAAACTGTTTTGCTCAACTGAAACAAGTTTCTTTCATAATATCTGATTACTACAGAGAGAATGAATTTAAATCATCTGTTGACCTCCGGAAATTAAAAAGTGACTTTTCCCTTATTCATATCAATGTTTGCAGCCTCACAAAAAACTGATACTGTGTCCTGATATCTCATCCCTAGCCAGGTCTATAAAGACACACAGGACATAATAATGATATATTTAATAGGTGATCTGACTATAAATATTGTAAACTATAAGAATGATAATTTAATTAAGGACTTTATTAACACAATGTGCTCTCATTATATTCATCCTATGATTACAGTACCAACCACCAGAGTGACAGAGACTTCTGCCACCCTGATAGACAATATCAAATTTGTTGGGTAACAATCTGAAATCAGGTGTTCTATGTAGGGATATTACTGATCACTATCAGATCTTTCTAATAGCATTCAAGGAATGTTATAAGCCTACATTTACACTGCATCTTAAATATAAGAGAACCTTTACTAAAGTAAATATAGCAAAGTTCAGTGGTATCCATGGACAGATATCCTACAGTTCATAGATCCAAAAAGGCTTTTGCTTTGTTTTCAGAATGTATTTCCCAGTCCTATGATCTGTGCTTCTCTATTAGATTGATGTCTCCCAAACCTCATCATAAACTGACAAAACTGTGGATAGCTTCAACCATCCTGAAATCCTTGAATACTAAACATAGATCGTACAAAAAAATATCTCCTCAGTCCCACTACATTTAATCTTGCCCAATTTAAAAGTGACTGAAATCAATAAACCACATTAACAGAGGAGCTAAAAAAACACTACTGCAATGTTGAATTATCTAAACACAAAAATGACATGACCCTGTTTTGGAGAACAATTAATTGTATCCTCAACAAAAAGAATAAACACAAGCAGTTACCTAATGAATTAAAGGCTGATTGGGGTCTTATCACTGATCCACAATTAATTGCCAACAATATTAATAGCTTTTTCTCAGTAGTTGGTCCAACTCTGTTCTGCACAATTCCACCCAGAAACTTCAGTTTATGAATTCTCCAATGAATGAAAACTTAGATTTTTTTTTACCAGTTACTGAATGAGGTTCAAACTAAAAGATTCCTCTCCGGGTTATGATAACATTGACAGTAAACTATTGATATGCATTCATGAGTATACTCCTATCTTACAATCTGTCATGTTACCTGGAGAATGGCCCTGGAGGGTTTTAAGCAATTCTCCTACATAGTCATTATAAAAAAAATTGTTATTATTATTATAATTATCATTATTATTATTGTTCAGTATTGAATTTATATTTTTAAATTGGATTTTTCAGTTACTCCAAAAAAACATGTTTTTTTCCTCAGGTATCCGTATGATACTACTAAATGCAAACCACTTTATTATGTTTTATTTGTCCACTCAGTCTGTGCTGCCTCTCCAGAGGTTGTCCAAGTAAAGGGGAAGAGATTTGTTTGCCAGGTTGATGCAGTGGTCACTGGTTGTACTGCATAAGTAATAAAAGTTGCACACAATTAGCTGAATATTCATTCCACAAACATACCAGGGACACCACTTTCATAACAGTGGCACAGTATCTGTGCAGTCAGGTTACTAATGGGATATTGTTTTAGAACCTGAGTGAAATCTGAAAACAAAAAAACATTGTTTACTGCCCTCAAACTAATGCTCCCTAAAACTGAATGCTATGCATGAATTGTAAAGTCATCAAAAACTGTTCCTAGAACTTTTTTTATGATAGTGTGTTTGAGACTGTCCCTCTCTATGACCCTTTACATGTTTAATAGCTGGATACAGAGTTGACAGCACGCCACGAGTTGCAGGTGGAGCTGAAGAAACTGGAGGGTGACTATGAGCAGAAGCTACGGGATCTGAGCCAAGAGAAAGAACAGCTGGCCTCTTCTAAGCAGGAGCGAGAAAAGGAGAACCAGGGACTACAACAACAGCTAAGCTCTCTGAATCAGCAGGTAGACACAAATACAGACACACACACACACACACAGACACACACAGACACAGACACAGACACAGACACAGACACATACACATACACATACACCTACCTGTCTATGAGCACCTCAGTGCCTTTTTAATTCAAATAATTCAAAATCTAAATAGAGGTATTTGCATTGTTGTAATATAAGTAAGTATATATAAATAAGTATTGAATCAATAAGCTTAATGTGACAACTTTACAACAAACCTAAAATGCTTTACACAGATGGAATCAGGAGACTTAGAGCCTTTAAACAATGTTAAGGTTGTCCTTTATGGACCAAAACACACCTAAAGTAGCACTACCAAGGTCAAAGTGTCCCGTGGATGGAACTGTGTATTTTAAAGGGTTAAAGTAAATACCCAAATGCACTGAATTGAAAGTGAGTTGAACCCAGTATCATACCTCCAGAATCTTTGTGGCATGTTGACTAGCTCGGGCTGTATTCCGATCATTACTTCATGCCATTGTAAACATAAAAGAACCACAACATTAGTACAGAATGAATATAAACGGAGTCAAATGACTGAATCAATCTTTTTTATTTTTTATTGTCCGGGAAATACATACACACAAAACACAAACTTCTGCTAAAACTGTAAGAGGTAAAATATTTCAAGGCCTAAAGAAATACGATATCGCAGAAGACTAAGTACCAAAAGTTGTCCAACATCTATGCACACCCACACAAACACAGAAGCCCCCTGGCCTTAAATGATTTAGCCAACTTCTAGCATGGCATGAAAAGAAGACGAAAATCTAAAAGCATATTGTGAGAAGAAGCCAAATCCTTTAGAGATTAAGAAACCCAATAAAAACATGGAAAGTGGGGGAATGGGAGTATAAAGAGTGACTTAAAGGAAGAAGAAAGGAAAAGGATGGAGATAGGACAAACATAATTTTCTAAGGACAAACAGAATTTTTTAAGGCCCAGATACACATGCAGGGTTTCCTGTGCATGTGTGTGTGTGTGTGTGTGTGTATACATACACTAGGGAGGCAAAGATGAGGATTGTTTAGCTGTCAGTGTCCTGCTGCCACACCAGCTGGACTCTGCCTCACAGTGACACCCCAACTCACAAACATACCAAGTGACCCAGAACCGTCTGCCTCTGTGCATGTATGCTCATAACCACATGAAGATGTTTCTGTGTGTGTGTGTCTGTGTGTCTCTATGTCTGTGTGTGTGTGTTTGTCTGTCAGTAAGAGAACTATACAGCTTCCAAAATGAGCTTCATCCAAAGTGGCTAATGCCAGCAGAGTCATCTTCTCAACACGCAAAAGCTCAAACACACACACACACACACACACACAAATGCACACACAGTTGTCCAAAGCATCAACAGCATCACGAGCCAGGCCTCAAACAAGCTTCTCATACTAAGATGGCTCACTTTCTGTGTTTGAGGCACTGCCCATCGAAGATTTCTTCACATGTAGAGATCTCTCACTGTTCCTCTGTGTGATGCCGTGCCCAACTCTTCATCTGCTGCCTCAATAAGAAAGCCTGCCTCGGAGGCCCTTTATGTCTGTTACTGTCTTCTTTTCAAAGTCCAAGGAAACGGCACAATTTGTTGCTCTGCATACAGACACTCTTTCACACATCAACAATGTTTACACTTTACACACCTAAGAACACATACTGTAAATAAACTTCTCTATACATGTACTCTTTAAATCACATATAGAAGGTTCCCAATCAAGTCCTTCTCTCACAGCCCAATATTAGCTGTCTAACTTTAATGACTTGCACAGTTTTCTCAAGAATTGTCGCCTCGCTGATATAAATACTTTAATCAGTATTTCAGTGTTGAAATAAAAAAAAATTATTCACCCTCACTTTTAATATAAAATTTTGTCCTCCTCTTAAAAACTTTTTCTTTTGAATTCCTCTGTGGATTTAATTCCCCCCTGCTATGTTTTTCTCTCTGCGCCTTGTTCTCCATTCTCTCCCCAAACTCAATCCTGCCCAGGCTTTAATCCCTCTCTGTGTTACTCTTTCCCCCTCTTTTGTTCTTTTTTCTCTCAAACCTAATCACTCTGTTGGCATGGTTATTCATAGGAAATGGTGGAAATTGCCAAATCTATACAAAATGTCAATTAAAACAATAAACAACAAATAACAGTCAAGACATGCTATATGATAAATTACTATACTGTATATGGTTTGAATATATACAATGGTATGTCCAGTGGTAGATGGTAATCAATATTAATGATAATGTACCGTGTCCTTACTTCCCTGCAGATTGAAAAGCTATCTAAGGACCTGGAAGAGGCCAAGACTAAAGTTGTCACAGTTACTGTTCCTGTGCCAACACCTGGTTTACCCCCTCCACCACCTGCCCCTCCTCTCCCTGGCCAAAATGTAGGTGTACCCCCTCCACCTCCACCTCCACCCCTACCAGGCTATGCAGCCATACCTTTTCCCCAGCCCCCACCTCCTCCTCCTCTACCGGGTCAGGCCTGTATTCCTCCTCCTCCTCCACCACCTCCTTTACCAGGTATGCCAGGACCTCCACCACCCCCACCTCTTCCTGGCATGCCAGGACCACCACCTCCTCCTCCCTTACCTGGGATGGGACCTCCACCACCACCGCCGCCACCTGGGTTACCTGGTATCCCTCCTCCACCGCCAGGCCCAGGTATGCCTCCACCTCCACCATTTGGCATGGGAGGCTGGGGGGCGCCTGCACCACCTCCACTGCCTTATGGGCTCAAACCTAAGAAGGATTACAAGCCTGAGGTCCAGTTGAAGAGAGCCAACTGGAGCAAGGTCAGTTCTGAGATGGATGGTTCAATATGTTAATATTCAAAGAGTTACTGCAAAATTGTCAGCTGTCTACAGGTGATGTAAAAATATTGTGGAAAAAGAAAAAATCTTATGCCTATGTAGATTCTACATTTTGCTTATGTGCTGGGTACAGATGTTTGGTTGAATTAGCCCATAGCATCTCCAGACTTTTCCTAACTAGCTAATAAATTTTTTTCCAAAGATAAATTGTTGAATGCCAAAAATCACACCAGTGTTGAAAATGAGACAGTTCATACTGTATTTCAGCTCCTCATTATATTCTGAACATTATGCCCATGTAAAATCAGGTAGGGATTTTATTGTAAATAATTCAAACATGATTTAAATTTTGCATGCCAAGTTCTACAATTTACAATTTGAAATAGCCCAGGGTGTGCTTTGTGTGTGCAACAGTGTGAGATGGAGCTTTAACAGTGAGATTCTGACCTAAAGTGACTTTCATGCATACGTGTATCTCATGACTGTGTGCTTCATGTTCTTCTCCTCCCTCTCATCTGTGATGGTTAAAACATCAAAACGGCCCTCTGTCTTTCTTTAGCCTAAAGCTACTGTTTAATGGCTTCAGCAGACTTCATCAGCATTTAGCTTCTCTCTCTCTCCCCTCTCTCTCTCCCTCTCTCTTTCTCTCTGTCTCTCTAGCTGGTGAGAGTGTTTGACGAGGATGTCACAGAAATTGCTTTTTAATAAGCCTTCTTCTTTTAACTGCACCACTGAAAGATAATTAAATTGCTGCTAGAAAGGACAGTATTCTTTTGTAATTTAAATTAACTTTTTTTTCTGGCTTGGACTCATCCTCCTCTTTGCGTGCTCTCTTGCTTTCTTGCTTGCTCTTTCAGCTCATCCCAATATCACATTTCCTCTCCCTACTCTGTCTTTTCTGTCCTACATCCCCATCCCTGAGGCTTTGTCCATAATGAAAGGCCTGATATCTGTAAATTTACTACCACTGCTTTCTCTCTCGCTCTCTTGATTTCACTCTCTTTGTCTTTTCCCTTGATGAGAACACTCAGAAAGTGCAGGAAAAACATACAAAGTTAATTGTGTCTTGTGACTAGAATAGAGAGAGAGTGCAACACCAAGACAAAGAGGGATACAGAGAGAGCACCCACGTAAGGGAGAAGACAGAAAGAAGAGGGGAGGAAAGAAAGTGGAAACCCCTGTATTTCTTAGCATTTCTATGCGTGAATCTCTGAAGCTCAGTATGCCTTGTGGTAGAGACAGTGTGCGAAGATGAGAGAAAATGACTACTTGTTTCCTCCTCTCCCTTTTCTCTTTGTGTCTTCCTTCCTTCCTCCATCCTTGTCCCCTCCCTCTACTACCACACTGCTGCCTCTTCCTTCTACAGTCCTCTTGTTTCTTTTGTTCTGTCAACTTCTTTATCTGCTCATCTCATTGTTTGCCAGGTGCACAGATGACCATTTTTGGAAGATTGAGTCAATTTGATGATGTGGTTAGCTAACAGATTCAATACATCTCTTTCTTTCTCATTTTCTCCTTCTTTCTCTCTCTGTACATACTGGCATTACTCTCTTAGATCGGACCTGAAGACCTCTCTGAGAACAGTTTCTGGACCAAGGCGAAAGAGGAGCAATTTGAAAACAATGAGCTCTTTGCCAAACTCACCTTGACCTTCTCCTCGCAGACAAAGAGTGAGTGTGTGTCTTGTGTGTTTTTTACTACTGTGGTTATCATGTTGTGTTTCACAGTAATAAGCAATGTCTTTCTCTACTTCTCACCTCTCCCACGTCCCTCCCCTCTTTCCCCAACTCCATATCTATTTCAATCCTCCTGTTCTGCTTCCATCAGCCACTAAAGGTAAGAATATCACGCACACACTTCCATTTAGTTGTTTTTTCACACATCTTCTTCAGCCTTTTTCACCCTTCTCGTTCTCTGCTTGGAGGACACGCTGCACATTTACATTATTCAGTAACGCTGTGTCAAAACAGCAACTCACACGAGTTCATGAATAAACCACCCACACCCGTGTTTGTATGTGTGTTCATCTTCTCAATGTGCCCATGACTTGTTGTCCAAAGACTGAGTGCTCACATCCAGGTGAGATGAATTGGGACTTGGGGACAAAGGGAGAGATGGACAAAGCGAGGAGGATAGAGGGAGGGATAAGGAGAAGGTCACTGATGTCCTTTGACTAGCCACCTGCTGTCCTGGCACAAAGCGCTGACACACGGGCGTACGCTCACACACGCACACCTGCCCACTCCTATCACCTTGTCCCAGTGTCACTGAGCCTTCTGCTCTAACTCCTCCATATTCATATCATAACCAGGACACCAGGAACTCACAGACAGACAGTGTGTGTGGGTGTGTATATAATTCCATCTGACCTTCAGATTCAGTCTCAGTACACATACACACACAGACTCTTGCTCATGTCATATACATAAACAGAAGTGTGTATGCACACATGGCTGATGCTAGCTGTTGATGTCAGTAAATGTCAATGTTGGCAGCTGTCCCATCTGCATTCACCTGTATGGCAAGTCCTAACGTCCGCCTGTCACTCCTTAATTTGACCCCCCCACCCCCTTGGCCTGTGCACCCACGCCTCCCCTTTTTATTGGCTGAGACAGCCGCCTGTTCCAGTTGATGTCTAATAACCTTTTCTGAGCGCTGACTATAAAGACACCGTGGCCTTTTCCTAGGCCCACACCTGTCTGTATGTCTGCCCATGTGGATGTACTGTGTGAGAGAGAGGGAGAGAGAGAAAAGGAGACGCCAGGTGTTTATTACTCTGTATGTGTTGTTGATTTCCTGTGTGTGTTTTGAATGTGTTGAAGTCTGGTAGTTGGGAATAAAACATTATTTGAAACAGAATTGGGATTTCATTGAAGTTCACCTTTATTTTCATTATATAGCACTTTAAAAAGTAAACAGATTTTGTACCAAAGTGGTTCACAAAGACAGACAGGGATAGGAGTGATCTCCTTTCTTGGACCTTGTTAATAACTGGCCAGCAGCATTTTGAATTGAGATAGTAGCCTAAGGGATGCCCAAGTAGAGGGAGTTACAATGGTCAAGCCTGGATGACATTAGTGCATGAATGACTTTCTAGATCAGAGGGTGATTAGAAATGCCTAATTCTGGAGATGGTTCTACTTTGGCAGAAGCTGGGTAGGAGGTGTGTCTTATCCTTATTTAAATGAAGGAATTTATTAGTCAACCAGTCTTCAATATCTTGGAGACAGTTTTGAAATCGAGTTACATCGTCCTGATTTTGGGAATTGAGGGGGAGGTAGATCTGAGAATCATCTTCGTAGCAGTGAAAAGACATTATATGAGTTTGGAAGATTCTTCCCACCAGGAGCATGTAAATACCTGACCTTTTGTGTTGGCATCTTATGTTTTGTGTGTGTGCTTGTGAGTGCTCATGTGTAGTCTGACCCAAACTGTGACTATAGTGTGTATACTGTATGTGTGTCTGTGGCTGTATATGTGCACATGCTCAATAAGCTACCAGCTCTGGTTCTGCAGATTGACCCTTCACCCCTCATCCGTCCTTCTCTTGCTTAAATACACAGCTCAAGGCCTAATGCATTCCTCCTGACCTCCCTATCATTCTCCTTATCCCTCACCTCTGGGAGCCCAGCTTCACTCTTCTTCATCCTCATCCTACCCCCCCACCCCCCCCACTCTTGTGCCTCCCATTCCTTGTTACCCAGCAAAAGCAGACCGACACCACACCGAGCCACCGCTGACCCTCCCTGACCCTTCCTTCTCCTCTCCATCAGCTGCCCAGCAGCGCAACTGGGGTTGCACACACACACACACACCCACACAGAAAACAGAGGGGGGGTAGTGTGCTCAAGGCAGGTTCAGAGGTGCTGACCTCGGAGGCTCCATAGAAGAGCAGTGAGCTGATGGTGGGAGACACGCCTTCTGGCTTCACATGGCTCTCGTGGACACAATCCCACACTTTGGCACACACACATACAAGCAGTGTACTTATATTTTATCTTTTGCTCTTTATCTATGTTATTTCTATTTTCACCCTCTATGTCTTTATATCAGAAGTGAAGCTCCGGCCAGTTATCGTTCATGCTCCTGACTCTGTCCAGCAACTGAGCATGTCAGAATGTTACTTAACTAATGCAGCCCACAATCCAATCAAATTATAATTGAATTACTTGTATTAGTTGAAGTGATACTAAGTCATGTTAAGATGGATTTTGCCCTATCAAGAGTAGACCTCATCCTACATCCCCAAAAGCCACTGAAGCTGTTTTCAGATGCTAAGCATCAACTATCTGTCGTTTGTTTGTCAATGTAATGAAACTTTTATCATCTACAGCAAATTTATTATAAAGCATTTCTTAAATGTTTTCTAAATTCAGTGGTGTTAGGTTGATTTCGTGTTTCTTTTTAAATGTAGCAATTCATTTGATCTCATTTAGCTCATTTTAGTTTAACACACACTCATACCTTTGCCTTCTGCCTGATTAAATTGTATTGCAACATTGAGCCTACTTTGCTACATGTTTTCAACAGTGGTTCAAAGATCAGGCAAGACAATAACAAGAACAGATCGCAATTAGAGAAAAGCTCCACCTTACTTGATTTATTCTAGTCTAGTCTTCTTTACCTCAATACCTTTCACCTATCTCCTCTCGAACTGCTTAACTTGCCTTGCAAACAACTATTGCAGCCAAGGTCAGAGTTAGTAGTACTGTGCTGCTGATCATCTTATTCACCAGGATGGAAATACCAAACTAAGCCGTTAACATGGGAAATGAGAAATATTCTTTTTTTTATTGCAGGATGCCTACTAGCTTTACCTCTGTGGTCCAGGTTATCAATTTGTGTGCTATTGATAAATCATAATGAGGTTAAGTGAGTGTCTTTGTTTGACCTAAACACTACCTTTTGAAAAGAAAACATGTGATGATCTCAGTTATGTCTTGTAACTAAGCTTTTGTATGTGGTTGAACTGATCGGATCTGAGATAATGGCAAGCTGTTTCACTGTACTTTTTTACAGCTTGTGTGATGAAAAAATTCAGTTTTAATCTCCATCACAGGAATTTAATAGTATGTAACCAGTCAGATTCTACTGCAGTATTTGTAGTGGAGGAACTGTGCTTTTATACTGGATTCCTCTGCAAAAAAAGACTATTATATTTTCCCATCATTGTACTTTGTGGATGTAAGGGATTACAATCAGAGACCTGATATGACTATTTGCAGTTATAAACATCCTAGTTGTTGACATGAGCAAGTATGTGTGGCTGTAAAGCAGTTAGTGTAGTGTATACCGTTTCAGGTGGCAAGCTTATCCCCACATTCCCCCTTAAGCTACTGGTTCTTAATCCCTCACTTTAAAGTGCTTATGTATGTTTTCTACTTTGTAGTATTTGTTTTCTTCTCTCTTTCTTTTAATCATAATAATTGTAATCATAGTAATAATAACAGGTGAACAGAATCCAAACAGAGCTTGCTTTAATGCAAAGTTGTTTTGGAAAGTGCAGGAGGATAGTGACAATGCAAGAATTTGTACACTGTTCATCTTATAAGGGCATATATAACCTGAACTGTCCTTTTCTCACTCTTTTAGACTCACTTTGTGTTTGATAGCAGGTGCCTTTTGAAGTCGGCACCTCAGATAGCCCAATTAGTGAAAGAATGAGAGTGAGAGATGGAGAGAGGAGGAGGTGGGTGAAAAAAGAAAAGTGAGTGGATGGAAAGGCTGGGCTAGGGGGAGCCTTGGTGATTAATTTGATTCGGGAGAGAAAAGAAGAGAAAAGGGCCAGGAGCATATATGATTATTAATCCTCATAATGGGAAGATCATTTTCATATCCCAATTCTCCAGCCTTTACACCCTTCCCTCTTTGGTGTTTCAGTCTCTGTCGCTGTGTTTCTGTGGTCTGTTGTAGTAAGGCGACCTCATTTATCTTTTTTTGAGAGATCCCCAAGCCACCTATCCAGAGGAGGCATTTTGTGATGCCATCCACTGGGCACCGCTGAATAACACACCTACACATGCAACAGAACCTTCCTGTAACACATTTGCTTCCTATGATAATATGGACAAGTTTATTGCAGATGAATGCATGTTTGCCAGTGCAAGGGTGTCTGTATACCGCTGTATGTGTTCGAGAGAGTGGGTGGGTGAGCTCAGCCACATTTACAAACCAATTATAACAAGTCTTTTGATCTCCCTATGTTCTAAAGAAATCAATTTCCTTCTCTGTAGGTATTTGTCTCTGTGTGTGTGTCTCTGTGTGTGTGTGTGTGTGTGTATGATGTACGTGTATTTGTGTTGCAGTTTAATCTTGGGTCTATTCCATTCACTTTTCACCTTAATGATTCACCAATCAGTCTACTGTGTGTGTGTGTGTGTGTGTGTGTGTGCGTGTGCGTGTGTGTGCGTGTGTGCTTGCCTGGAGCCTCTCTTGAATTGTAGACCAATCAGTTAAAGAGATGAGAGATGTAATATATTAACAATAAAAGTCCAAGAGGCATGGGGGGAACTACTGTTGCCATGTTGTTCATTAGTTCATTACATCTTCTGCTAAACAGGGTTCACCACATTTGGTGACTTGTTTTTGTTACACTGCACTGACTCAAGGTCATCGTCAGACAAAGAAGAATTTCCATGCAAATGAAATAACTTAATCACACTGCAGGGTTATTTACTGTGATCAACCTGATACAAAATGTCATCTATGTGATTGTATGAAATATTGTCTATATAGATTTACCCTTTGGTCAGTTACAAGGCACACAGGCCTGATAAATGACTTGCAAGTTTTTGTTGAAAATCACTACAGGTGAGAAAAGGGAAGACCCTGCTTTTCACTTCAGTGGTTAGATCGCCTTTCCCTGTCTCCTCCTCCTCCATCATGTTTGTTTTCCCACCGTTGCTTCCCCTCTAGGTCACAGCCAAGAAGCATTTGTGAGTTTCTTTGTGTGTGTGTGTGTTCCTTTTCGTGTATAATTGTGTATAATTAGGGA